GTATCGTTTCTGATATAAGAACTATATGCTTGTATGACACTATACATTTTTTTGTTATATCAGAAACGATATAAGATACAAGAAAATGCAAAGTGTCATACGGCCTTTAGTGATTCCATAGTAAATTATGAGGGAAAAACCAGGAAAAAAAACCTCATACACTATCCCGATATGGTAAGTATTTGGTTGTGCATTTAATTTATCTTTAATAACCACCAAATTCTGATTTTATATGTTTGTTATTTAAAAAAAAAAAAACATAAATGATGTATACTCTATATGATACTAACTTATTAATACTGGTATTTCCTTGTAATAACTTCCTGTTTTAATATGGGTAACCAGATCCTACTACATTCTGCAGAGGAATTTGCGACACAATTGGTCTCATTTAGTATAATTAGAGCCGCTTCTTTGATTTTTCTCTTTACCATCCGTTTCTTTTAGGGCTATATTTATCATCATTCCATTGAACCCTATGTTCATTATCTCATGCGTATTTACATATTTGGGATCTTTTAAATTCTCTATTTTTAATATAAGATTGATGTTCCCTTATTCTAACATTTAATGGCCTTGATGGTTCAACTAAATAAAACTGATCGCATTCACAAGGTATTTTATAAATACAATTCTTTGTCCTTTCTTGTTCATTGTTAGGTTTGATCTTAGACAAAATAGATCTCAATGTGTTTGTTGTTTTGAATGTTGTTGAAATGTTGAATTTATTTCTTATCCTTTTAAGTTTTTCTGATAATCTTTTTATCTACGGTATTGTTATTTTCCTCGTATTATTCCTTGTGTGTGCTGTAGGATCTCGTTCTAAATTGTTCTGTTCTATTCGGTCGATTGTTGAAAATTCCTTATTTATAAACGAGAAAGGATAATCATTTTTTAATTATTACCCCTGTAGATTAGGCCCACAGGGGACACCGCGATAAAAAAAGCGTCGCTTACTCTACATCCAGGTGGTGTGAAAATGAGTTTTTTTTTCCAAAACCCATATTGAAATGTACTTTGCAGCGCAAGTACGCCACAAACTATTAATTTTACAAAACTATTGTAAATACATAAATTGTGGGAAATCACATGTGGGGAATATCCATAAACTACGTCGTAAAAAATTTGGACTTTTTAATACACTCCCTCTTATTCGTCGTAAAGCGTCGTTTACAGTAGAGGCCCTCCCTCATCCTTGAGGTCACAATTGCAACTCATGACCCCCCTTTTCAGTGTTTTTTTTTAATTCAATGTTTATTTGTGGATTTTTTAAAACTAACTCTAAAACTTTAGTTTATATCTGATTAATAATGATTTTGCCCGTCGCCATGCGACCGAGGATCCAATCAATTGGATTACAGTCACTCCACTCAACTTTTTCTGACATGCTCCTATTTTATCGTGTCTGCCAAAATACTGAATCACGGTCTAGTCGACATTGGCTTTCAACATCATCTTCCAATGATCTTTATGTCCTCTGTGACGCAGATTCTTGTTGCTGCCTACTTAATCTAGCTTCCGAACTCTCTTCAGAACAAAGCTTTAAATTAGTTTGCTTAATAAATATAAGCTTAAAATTACAGTGCAGTTACTTAAAAATTAATTACTGATAAAGTAGTAAAATTTTCGAGTAAAGATATTTGAATTATCAATTTATAGAATGAATTAGCAATAAATCAACCCTGTCGTTTCAAGGACAAAACATGAAATTTTGAAAACTCCCGGAAAACTTTTATGATAAAACTACCAAATGACTGGACTTAATAAGATTCTTAAAGTTTTTTCATTTACCTACATTATTTTTCTTTGCTTTTGGAACGTATTCGCAAAATTTTCTATGATGTTCGGTCTAGTTTAAAAGATTTTAAAACATACACTGACATAAATACCGCATTACAGCATGGAATAAAATCGAACGAAACATCTGCAATGACAATAAATTAAATTCTACCTATTACTTATCGATATAGGTTTTAGTGTGTACTAATAACATTCTTTGCTTATAACATGCATGTAAGATTTTATTTTAAAGAAGATATATAGGACAAACAAGGAAAATAAAAAATCTTTTCACACCACAGAAAGACACTGACATAATTATTTACACATAAGTACAGATTAAAGCGAGAAGAAAAATTGTAATAGAATAAACACATATTTAGGACAGAGAAAAAGCACAGAAAATTGAAAACTGATTAACAACAAACGTTAAGTGAAAAAAAAAGATAAATCTCCCAAATTACACAGCATTAGGTGTTTTGAGCGTTGCGACATGGAATATCCGAACTTTGTATAGAGTAGGAGCTCTTCAAAATCTCCCAAACTAACTTGATAGATACAAAATGGAGACATAAATATCTCCCATACAAGAAACAGGTTGGATTAGAAAAAATCCAATGGAAAAAAGTATCCATACGATTTTCTACCGCTACGATCCATCAACTAAAAGAAACCATTAATACTAAAATGAACCCAAGGAAGAGTTGTAAATAGTATACAGAGTGTTTCAAAAAAGGTGACCCCGTCTCTAGGGTAGGTAAAAAACTGAAAAATAATTGGGGTTTGCTTAGTAAAAAATTTTTGTAGCGCCATCCGTTTTCAAGATACAGGGCGTTGAAGAAAAAAAATTTTACGCATTTTTTATGATTTGGCTGAAACTACTGGCAGCATTGTAATGAAATTTTATACGAATATGTTTTGGAAGCTGATACATCCCATGAATTTGTTTTTATATCTGATTCTCATAGAGGGCGCTAGTTACACGGATCGTACTAAGTATTAGTCAATATAACTTTTTTAAGAGTATAATTCTAAAAGCTAGAGCCACATTTACTAAATTGAAAAAGGTGTTCTGCGGAAGAGATCTAAGTCTAAAACTTAAAATTCGCCTTTTGAGATGTTACGTTATGTCAGTTCTGCTCTACGGGATGGAAACATGGACATTGAAAAAGATCGATACCAAAAAGATAGAAGCATTTGAGTTGTGGATGTATCGTAGAATATTAAGAATACCCTGGACAGAGAAAGTAACAAATGTGGAGGTTTTGCGGAGAGTGCGGAAAGAGAAGATACTTACTGTTAAAAAGCGCAAACTACAATATTTGGGACATGTTATGAGGGGAGATAAATACCAGTTGCTGCAATTGATTATCCAGGGAAAGATAATGGGAAAGAGATCTATAGGAAGAAGAAGGCATTCATGGTTGAAAAACTTGAGGGAATGGTACAATTGCACCAATTACCAACTGTTTAGATCTGCAGCATCAAAAATACGCATAGCTTTGATGATAGCCAAACTTCGGAACGAAGACGGCACTTGAAGAAGAAGAGTATAATTATTAATCAAAATTTCAAGTAAACTTAAACATCATTCAATTTTACACGAAAAAGGTACTCTTGGTAAAACTCGATACTGTGTACCGTTTTCGGAATATTTTGATTTTGCCGAAACTACTGGCAACATCGTTGTCAGTTCATAAGTTCAGTACAACATTAGTTGTAATTTTTTAAAGGTTAATGAAAAGGGCCCTAACTCAATAAAAACTGTTTTTTGAAAAAAGTGATAGGAGGCAATTTTTTTTAAAAATAATTGTGTTAAAGTAGTGATGCCACAAAATTAATTTGATTTGAACGTACTCAAAAGTTTGGGAGGATTTAGGGCTGCACACCTCCTTTAAAATTTTTCTGTACGCTTAGATTTTGTTGTTTATTTTTTATGAAAAATGCTTTCAGAACAAGAAAGTAACGTGTCCATTTTAATTACAAAATGCAAAAAAACAATTTTTATTTTATAACTTCAGAGGGCTGTAACTTTTTTTGTGTACACTTTTGTACTAAGGTAAGTTAGATTCAATCAATTTATGTTTGTCCTCGGAATGCGTGATTTAATTTAGACATACCTTTTTGGAATACCCTGTATATAAATAATAATATGAAAAGATCCTAACAATATTGCCTTAATTGTGTATATATATATAGATATATATATATATATATATATATATATATATATATATATATATATATATATATATATATATATATATGTATATATATATATATATATATATATATATATATATATATATATAAAATGAAATAAACCTAGTAAAGTGATTAGATTAGCCATAGAGACTAGCACAAAAGACAGCAGTCCACAAAAAGATATAGAACAGAGTTGAGGGAATTTGAACAGCTTGTATTGTACATCGTACGAGGAATCTATTACATTTAATGGTAATGAACAACAATTTTAATTTAAAATTATGATTGGTTTGAATTTACACCTCGCAAATTGTTTTCAAAATACTAAATATAATAAATATTAATGTAAAATTTCCAAGGTGGAAATCATAGTAGATAACATAAAGAAACGACAAGAAAATAGCTTCAGAACCAACGTACGAGGACGTTGCATCTACATTCAGACCTGATGCAGCTAGAGAATTGTGAACAGTGTTAAAAGACACGTGTATAATTTTTTAAGTTTATTAAACACGGCCAGTAGTAATTAAACCACATGCAAATTATACGATAAAGTAACTACAATTTACATTTATCCACATAATTACGCAAAGCAGAACGCATACTAACAAAAACACATTTTTATAAATTAAAACAAAACACAAGTTTATTAAACACGGCCAGTAGTAATTAAACCACATGCAAATTATACGATAAAGTAACTACAATTTACATTTATCCACATAATTACGCAAAGCAGAACGCATACTAACAAAAACACATTTTTATAAATTAAAACAAAACACCAAACGATTGGGTACAAGACGCAACAAATAAGAATATGATAAAATGGACATAACTATAAGCCTAAGAAGTAACACATTATAGAGATTATAAAGTACATTGACTAATATTTTGACTGTGCGTTTACGGTTTAAAAACAAAATTGTTTTATGTTATTAATAGAAATGTATCTTACCAACTAATGAAATAAATAATATGTGTGAGCCCTAGCAATGATAAATAAATATCACTACCTTTTAACATAGAAAGGCGTCCCAAAGTCTGCATACTCCGTATAGCCAAGGAATTTTTGACGAAAATCTTACCGGTTACTTCAATTGGTCCGTTGGTTGGTTTTCCAGTCATCACAGTTCCGTAAAAGGTGATCTTCGAAGGAAATCCCGTATTTTGTTGTAACTCGTATGCTGCCTTTAGAGAATCAACACTAGCAGATGCCACAAGATCCAATCCGCTGTGAAAAGAGGGTGATTTCGGAATGCCTAATGGACTATTATCCCGACCTCCCATAACATGACCTTGGGCGTAAGTTGAATGAACCATATTCGACACAATTTATTAATGATGTTTTCACTTGTTCCGTTACTCCCGAAATTTAAATCGATTTGAAATCACACCTTAAATGGACGAAAGTGTTCATTCTCGCCCGGAGCAACTCGTTTATTTGTTTCAAGTCGAAAGACCGGATGGAAAATCGGGGAAATAGCCAAACCTTAGAAGAGAACAGGGTTAGAAAGACGCGGCGTTGCCAAAGTGAACGGCAGACTAACAGGAATCGTATTTACACTCACAAATTCGTGATTCTTAATATTAAACGACCGACTTGGATAAAATGTACACACCAAATTAACAAATATAGATTTCTATATCAACTATAAAAAGCAATTTTAAATTAATGTAATCTACACAAGCACTTATCATTTTAATGATACGTGCTACGGGCATGGACTGTTAAAATAAATGCATGAACTATTTTGCGAATTTTTAAGGAAAAGACTAGGTACTACATATTTATAGATTTTTTCATGTTTGGATTTGTAACTACATAATTTGTGGCTCAGTATTATACATCTGCTTCATGAACACACAGTGACTGATAGTTATGACATGTTATCTATTGTATATACACTGTGAATTAAAAAGCTGTATATGAGCACTGCAAATAAAATACAAAGTATGTTATATTATTAGAACAGAGGAATATACATAATATATATCTAAATATTATGATACATTGATTATGCTACATGAATATACAGGGTGGTCCTTAAGTAATTGTACAAAAAGAAACCGTAGATTCTACACTTTAAAATATTACGATATAAGTCAAGTTGCTTTAATAAAATGTTAATATTAAGAAAGATACAGGGTGTTAAAGTGGAAATTTAAAATTTTATTTTTTGCTAAACTTTCATGTTTGTCAACATTTATGTATAAAAATTTACAACTGAGTATTAAATATCAGAAATTTTAATTTGATGTATACTTTGATGTATCTGATAGAGGGCGCCACATATGCCACATATGTGGCATATATTTACAGTTAACTTTTTTGCTCCTCAAGTTATGGGTATTTTTATTAAAAAATATTAAAGATACATTATTTTAACAAAAAAAGGTATAATCAACTACATAATTCTGATTTATCTCAATTCCTCTAGACAACGAAAGAAAATTAAAGAAAAACATCAATACTTCTAAATTTTGGTACAAAATACCTTTAATAAAGTTAATAGTTAACGAATTATTAAATAAAATAAATATATCAGCAGGATAAAATAACAGGATTTGATAAATAACAGAATAATTGGATTTTACATCAAACATTTTACGTTTTGTATCAAATTAAAGGCATAATCAAAACATTTTATTTACAAACCAAATTAAGAAATAGTTAAACTAAATAACGTTGAACTTTTGTCAATGTAAGTGTTCAATATGTCCACTATTTTCTTTAATTCATTTGTCAATACATTCCATAAAATATCGTCTCATATTAAATAGCATCATTGGTTCTAAAGAAACTGCTGCAGTATTTATTAGTGTTATACGTATAATAATAAGTAATTTTTTGAAATTTTTATGAATTAAATAATTATATTATTATCTCACCACAAGAATATGACTACCACGAACAATCCAACGTTCAGGAAAGTTGTTTTTAAACACTGTCTCACTCCACTTTCTCTGTAACGTAATGTACAATCTTGTAGAAACCACATATTTCGCCTTAAGTTTGATGACAATTGTTTGAATAAATCAATAAAATAATTTTATAAAAAATGTAAATAAATCTCGACATTCAAATTGCAAAGTAATTCGCATATCCGTAAAAAATAATTACCAATGATTCCAAACCATAGGACATGCATTTTAAATATGAATTTTGAATGATATTTTATAGATATGCGAATTACATTGCAATTTGGATGGTTAGATTTATTTAGATTTTTATAAAATGATTTTATTGATTTATTGGAAGAATTGTCATCAAACATAAGGCTAAATATTTGGGTTATGCAAGATGGTACACCAATACATTACAGAGAAGGGGGAGTGACAGTATTTAAAAAAACTTTCCTGAACGTTGGATTGTTCGTGATAGTCATATTCCTTGATTATGTGGTAAGATATTAATATAAGTATTTAATTCATAAAAATCCCTAAAGTATACCTATTGTTATACTTATAATAAGTACTGCAGCTGTTTCTTTAGAACCAATGATGCTATTTAATATGAGACAATATTTTATAGAATGTATTAACAAATGAATTAAAGAAAATGGTGGACATATCGAACACTTACTTTGACTAAAAGTTTAATGTTATTTAGTTTAACAATTTCTTAATTTGTTTTGTAAATAAAATGTTTTGATTATGACTTTAATTTAATACAAAACGTAAAATGTTTGATGTAAAATCCAATTATTCTGTTATTTTATCGAATTCTATTATTAATTATCCTGCTGATATATTTATTTTATTTAATATTTCGTTAACTATTAACTTTAGTAAAGTTTACAATTATAAATGTTTACAAACATGAAAGTTATAGCGAAAAATAAAATTTTTAATTTCCACTTTAACACCTTGTATCTTTTTTAATATCCACATTTTATAAAAACAAGTTGACTTTAATCGTAATATTTTAAAGCGTAGAATCTGCGGGTTCTTTTTGTAGTATTACTTAAGGACCACCCTGTATGTATATAATATATATATATATATATATATATATATATATATATATATATATATATATATATATATATATATATATATATATTATCACGTAGCTATTTTTACTAACATAGAAATAATTTCCTTTTAAGATAAGGTAAGTGTCGATGCTTTTGTGATATTGGTACTAATTTTCAAGAAAATATTTTTTTTATTTTAAGAAAATATTAGATATTCTTAGCTTACGATTCTTAATCACTGGCATGTGACTACACTGAATAAAATGAAGATAATGAAGATATACAATACATCCACAATTAGAATATTGGCATCCAATTGTAGGGTTATCTTTAATTCTCGATTTAACTTTGATTTGAAAGTTAGTTTTTGGGACATGACAAAGAAATATAAATTTAAGAATGAATTTATTACAAAATTAAGTTGCAAAAACGGTATGCGAATTTTTAATGAACTAAATGAACAATCCAAGTGAAATTTAGTTACTCCCCTATCGATACCTGAATTGAGGAAATCAAAATTAAGAATTAGTCCAGAGAAAAAAAACCTTTTATTATGGTATTTTTGCACCCGTTTTGGACGAACTGGAACCATTTGAAAAATTATTAACAGCTTAATGCTCGAATAAAAAGAAAGATAAGTAGATCCCGGAGAACTGCAACCATAGAAGATTTAAAAGTTACATTAATTTAACCAAAAAAGGACTACATATTTTAACAAAAGGACATTGGCGACTGAGAACAAACCTGACAACATTGAAGGTACTAGATATGTTAGATATGCAGATTTTATTAGCTATATGATAGACCAGGCAAAGTGGTCTGAGCTAATGGATTCCAGTCTCCTGTTGTAACGATGGCATCGTCAGCACTCACCGCCGGGTTGTCATCTCTCTGCACGCACGCATTCCTAGCGAGACTTATCACTACCATCTATGCGCGCTGGAGATAGAACAACCTCCAAAGATATAAAAAGTCGTACATCATCACAGAGAATCGAGTTCGAGCCGGAGTACTATCTTGTGAGAACTTCAACCCCGGGTATTTGTGTATTGATCAAAGGTCTGCCGTCCTTTACGTTCCCCGTGGGGAGTTTAAGCCGGGGTACAAGAGAATTTTATCGAGATTGAGTGATTTTTAAGAAGTATATATTGGAAATACGTTCTCACTGAGTGGTAGCATATTAATTGACATAATTGCATTAAACCATTCCAGCATTTTACTATCTTATGTGTATTTTAAGAGTGTATCTTGTCTGATCTTCACATTGAATCTTTTAGAGGCCTTGTGATTTACTACTAGTAAAATCAGTATTGTAAATAGAATGATTTAATGTTTAATTTACATGAAAATGGGGTGGAATTTGGTTTCTGAAAAAAAAGAGAAATTTAGTTGTATGCTAAAGGTCTGACGGGGAAAAGAATCGACCCAGATTTGTCAGTAAGTAAGGTAGGAGGAGTAAAGAGGAGATAAAAAGCTGGTAGCCATCAGAAAAGAGATATTAGTGAGAGCGCCCACCAAACTAGCGTGGCAAGTAGTAAGTCGCATGCGTCTAGCATGTTTCTTAAAATGTAACCAATTGAAACGAATGATTAGAATGAAATGATGTCACTGTCATTTTGGTGTGCGCTGAATCATTCAATCAAGCTATGGGTTAACGATCATACCAATATGGCAGTTAAATCAGGGCCCGATTATGACATTTTGACACTTTTTGTATTTTCTGCGTTATTTCTTTAATTTTTAGATTTTTTGTTTGCATTTATATAAAAAAAAACAGTTTTTTCAGAACTATTTAGCCACGTATTCGTGATATTAAGATAACACTATGGATTCAATGCCAAGTTCTAGTGGTAATTATCCTTCTACACCTAAAATACGCCGAGTAGATTTGGGTCATTTGCATCAAATGAAAAACAATGCATTATAAAAATGTACAAAAAAAAATACAAATTAATAATCCTAAAATGAAAATAACAGCCATAGTAGCAAAAATAAAATAAGTAACAACTTACGTTTGGCAGAATGGTTATTGTTAAAATAAAGACTTACTAAAGTCTAAAGTAATGTACGTTCGCATGCTTTCATATACGTTCTGGACGATTTTATTCTACAATGTAATAAATAAACTCTAAAAATTCTTTAACCACTTCATAACAATCCAACATTTTTTTATTGTAATTAGAAAAACAAAAAAATATATATTGGAAGTAAATTGGAAAAATTATTATTCAAACATAAACAATCAAAATTAGGTTAGGATCAACGTGTGAGGTTTTCCGATACTGATTACTGGATTACCGCAAGTCCGGGATAATCAACCAAAATAGAAGATGTATTTGATGACTTTTTAGTAACTTTCTTGGGTGTGAATCTGTCTTTTTAGTTTACTCCTCCTGGTTAAAAATTACACCATAACCATTAATAATAAATTTATATTTTAAATATATATTTTAGATATAGAAATATATCAATGAACTCAAAAATATTATAAAAAGCTTAAAAATTGTTCTTTAGTAGCTTTATATTCTGTGTATTCATTATTTCTATTTTATGGGAAGTGGATGTTTTAATTGCTATTTTGTAAACTTTTCAAAATATTCAATAATGACTGAAAAATTAATGAGAAACTGATCTACGTTATTTATAAGATTTTTTTATGAATACTATTAA